TTGAAAGGTTAGTTAACCTTAAAATTAACAAATTGTTTTAATTTTTGAAATTATTAAGTACATAGTAGTTAGGTTTTTACAAAATAATGTGCATTTTTAGGTATATCTAATTGAAGTTTCTTGAATACAGCCATATTTGATTACAGATAAATTAATGCAGCCTTCAAACATGAAAATGTTCCCCACCCCTGCCCTGCATAATCTGTACCCCATTACCAACCTGATCTCATCTCCTACTTAGTTTTACCTCATTCATTCTGCTTAATCCACATTGGCCACATTTATGTTCCTCAAACATTTCAGATATGTGCCCACTTCAAGGTCTTGGCATGACTCATTCCTTTACTGCAGTGAGGTCACTGCCCAATTATTATCAGAGAGACTTTCCCTTACTAACTTATTTCAAAATGTAATAGTTCCCATAAATTCCTATCCCCAAGCCTCACTTTAATTTTTGTCATAAGATTGATTACCTTCTAACATACTATAGACTTATTTATTGTTTATTGTATATCTCCTTAATTAGATATAAGCTCCATGTATGCAGTAAGTTTGTCTGTTTCGCTCATGTTGTATCTCTAGCACCTAAAACAGTACCTGGCACATCATACATACTCAACAGATATTATTTGAATGAATAAATGAATACAAAATCACCTATGCAAAAATTTTAAGTATCTACAGGATGAAATACACAGTAAACATTGTTATAAGATAAATAATGGACTGGCAGAAAATATTTGCAACATTTATAACAGTGGATGTATCTTCACTATTTATAATGTACTTTTATAAATTAGTAGGAAATACATAACCAGATCCCCTTCCAAAAAAATGAGGCAAAATATGGATAGACAATTTACAGAAGACATATAAACATATAGAACCTCACTTGTAATCAGGAAAATTCAAATATAAACAATGATACACTACTTTTTATCCATTAGGTTGGTAAAATTAGAAAAATTAATAACATCCAATATATGTAAAATGAGGAGAAAATTAAAAATCTCTTACACTAATCATGAGAGTATAAAAGAGTATAGTTATTTAATAGGCACATCTGGCAGTAACTGTCAATATTTAAAAGGTATATATATGCAGGGTTTCAGCAACTCTGCTTAGAATTTATTCTATGGTGACATAGATTAAAGATTCTCAAGATATGTATATAAGGTATGGAAAAGAATCTTCGGTGCAACACATGTTTGCAATCATGAAACTACAGAAGCAACTTCAGTATTCATAATACATAGATTAAATTATTTATGGTGAACCTACACAAAAATACCATATAATTATGAAAAATAATGAGGCATATATTTATGGGCTGATAAAAAGAGTGTGCCAAGATTTACTAAGTGATGATAGCTAGGTACAGAGCAAATGTATGGCATGATTTCACGTGTGTAAATAAAAGTATAAGAAGACATCTACATTTGGAAGATGTAGCATCATTTTGTGTACCAATAATTGAAGGAAAAATACTTCTAATTTTAATTGTAATATGCTTTCCATTGCAAGATGTACTCCAATATCAGATATTTTGAATGTAAAAAAAA